AGCTTAATGCAAAAACCTTTCTGATACATAATGAGAATGTGTCACACAAAGACCAGCATTAAAAAGTAACTAACAGCAATGGATATTATTTAAATCCATTTTCACATGGAGGAATTTCCTCATTCAGATTAATGGCATTTTAGGCTTATTTTTTGTAAGTTAAAAGAGACTATTATTGTCAGCCCAATGCCTATGTACCAGGAAGGGGTAATAATAGCATAAAACAAAGAGTTGAACAAGTCCACTTGTTCAAAAATATTTGATTTAGTAAATAATGACTGTAAGTCACACTAATTATTAAATCTTGTATTCTTAAAATACAAGAACAAACATTTATACTGATCATTAAATATATAATGAACAGTATACCTCACTGCTCTCTACCAAGTTATTTTGTTGATTGCTGCAGAAGATTCTGGAATTGATTCCATTTTTGGTTAAGGACGGGGGATGGATTACGACCCTGACAGTTACCAGTTGGCAAAACTAATTCACCTTATCTATATTGTGTTAGCTGACACCAGTAATCCGGGAAGGCAGTGCAAGGGCCGGAAAAACAGCCATCTGGTTGAAATCCAAATTTTAGGCCATTTATAAATATTTGAAAGTCTAAGCTTTGTGTTTAAAAGGATACCTTTACCCTGGATAAAGGTATCACTGTTATGTTAGAAAATTAGCCAGAACTGTTTCACACAACAGATGGAGGGTGAGAGTTCCCTAAGGATTTTGAGCACAGGCAGCACATCTGTAGCAAATTCATGTTAGTATGTTCCTTAGCACTGGAATGCTACACATGGCGTGGCTCCTTGAAGCATAGATTTGTGACACAAAAGTTGATTTGATTTTGTAGCACACTGCTTTGCATGTGTAAGGTGTTCCCCTGTTACAGCATACCTGGTTTTAAATTATCACATTCAGCACATATCCACAGATGCTGCATAAACCTGTAGAGACCATTTAATTTGAGGTGAGACAAGCAAAGATAAATAAATGTTTGTAAGGTCGGCCGTTTAGCTTGGGATCTTGGATTACCATATAATTATCATCATGGTTTGATCTTAATGTTCTAAAATAAATATGAATAATGAAAATGTTTAATGATAAGAATGGAACTTTTTTTGTAGAAGACACTGTTATGGTTTTTCTTAACTGCAATCATCTGTCTTAATTACCGGTATAAGTAAACTAAATTATTATCAGAATAGCAGTCAGTTATTTTCCGGTCAAATTTAATGCTACCAAACATTTGTTTTAAGCTAAAAGTTTGACTAACTTGTAGTCCCTGATAAACATACAGTATTTTTGTGTTTGCGATGTTCTGAAGAAATGTTGCTTTTGGAAATAAAATCAAAGAATAGAGGGCATGCGGAGAAAGAAAGATTTAAACCTTCAGCTGGATGCAATGTTGGTTCATAGTCGCAAACTGATTTGCAGATGTTTTATCTCGTCCTTCATATTTTAAAACGGAATTGTTAAAAAGAACCAAGCCTTAAAGGCTCCAACTATTTTATGTTGTGCACTAAAGCTTTGCACAGGAAATATAATCACCTGTATCTGTTTATATATATATAGATATATATATATATATATCTATATATATAGATAGATATATATATATATATATATCTATATATATATAT